CATAAGGACCCTTTTCATCGAATCCGTTCCGACTAAAGTGGGAGAGACTGGCACCCGCTAGCCACCTTATGCACCAAGTGCATGTCAATCGGTGGAACCTGTCTCACGTAAGAGTACATGTAAGGTCGGTCCGGGCCGCTTCATCCCACAATACCGTCGAAATAAGATTGGACTAGTAACGGTAAGCATATTGAACAACATCAACGCCCACAACTACTTTGTGTTCTACTCGTGCAAAGAATCTACGCAATAGACCTAGCTCATGATGCCACTGTTGCAGAACGTAGCAGAAATTCAAAATTTTCCTACGTAACACCAAGATCTATCTATGGAGAGACCAGCAACGAGTAGAATGAGAGTGCATCTACATACCCTTGTAGATCGCTAAGCGGAAGCGTTCAAGTGAACGGGGTTGATGGAGTCGTACTCGTCGTGATTCAAATCACCGATGATCAAGTGCCGAACGGACGGCACCTCCGCGTTCAACACACGTACAGCCCGGTGACGTCTCCCACGCCTTGATCCAGCAAGGAGAGAGGGAGAGGTTGAGGAAGACTCCATCCAACAGCAGCACAACGGCGTGCTGGTGGTGGAGGAGCGTGGCAATCCTGCAGGGCTTCGCCAAGCACCTACGGGAGAAGAGGAGGTGTCACGGGAGGGAGGGAGGCGCCAAAGGCTCAGGTGTGGATGCCCTCCCTCCCCTCCACTATATATAGGGGCAGGGGAGAGGGGGGAGGCGCAGCCTTGCCCCCTCCTCCAAGGAAGGGGTGCGGCTAAGGAGGGGGGAGGAGTCCATCCTCCCCAAGGCACCTCGGAGGTGCCTTCCCCCTTTAGGACTCTCCCCTTTTTCCTTTATCTTGGCGCATGGGCCTCTAGGGGCTGGTGCCCTTGGCCCATGTAGGCCAAGGCGCACCCCCTACAGCCCATGTGGCCCCCCGGGGCAGGTGGCCCCACCCGGTGGGCCCCCGGGACCCTTCCGGTGGTCCCGGTACAATACCGATGACCCCGAAACTTGTCCCGATGGCCAAAACAGGACTTCCTATATATAAATCTTTACCTCCGGACCATTCCGGAACTCCTCGTGACGTCCGGGATCTCATCCGGGACTCCGAACAACATTCGGTAACCACATACAAGCTTCCTTTATAACCCTAGCGTCATCGAACCTTAAGTGTGTAGACCCTATGGGTTCGGGAGACATGTAGACATGACCGAGACGTTCTCCGGTCAATAACCAACAGCGGGATCTGGATACCCATGTTGGCTCCCACATGTTCCACGATGATCTCATCGGATGAACCACGATGTCAAGGACTCAATCGATCCCGTATACAATTCCCTTTGTCCAGCGGTATTTTACTTGCCCGAGATTCGATCGTCGGTATACCGATACCTTGTTCAATCTCGTTACCGGCAAGTCTCTTTACTCGTTCCGTAACACATCATCCCGTGATCAACCCCTTGGTCACATTGTGCACATTATGATGATGTCCTACCGAGTGGGCCCAGAGATACCTCTCCGTTTACACGGAGTGACAAATCCCAGTCTCGATTCGTGCCAACCCAACAGACACTTTCGGAGATACCTGTAATGCACCTTTATAGCCACCCAGTTATGTTGTGACGTTTGGTACACCCAAAGCATTCCTACGGTATCCGGGAGTTGCACAATCTCATGGTCTAAGGAAAAGATACTTGACATTGGCAAAGCTCTAGCAAACGAACTACACGATCTTTGTGCTATGCTTAGGATTGGGTCTTGTCCATCACATCATTCTCCTAATGATGTGATCCCGTTATCAACGACATCCAATGTCCATAGCCAGGAAACCATGACTATCTGTTGATCACAACGAGCTAGTCAACTAGAGGCTCACTAGGGACATATTGTGGTCTATGTATTCACACGTGTATTACAATTTCCGGATAATACAGTTATAGCATGAATAAAAGACAATTATCATGAACAAGGAAATATAATAATAATACTTTTATTATTGCCTCTAGTGCATATTTCCAACACAGCACCTCCGCGTTCAACACACGTACGGGACGGGAGACGTCTCCTCCTTCTTGATCCAGCAAGGGGAAAGGAGAGGTTGAGGAAGACAGCTCCACCGGCAGCACGACGGCGTGGTGATGGTGGAGAAGCAGTACTCCGACAGGGCTTCGCCGAGCACACAACGGAGGAGGAGAGGTGTTGGGGAGGGGAGGGTGGTGCGGCTGCCCTCCCCTCACCCCTCTATTTATAGGGGGAAGGGAGAAGGGGGCCAGCCCCTCTAGATCCCATCTAGAGGGGGGGCGGCGGCCAAGGGGAGAGGGGGAGAGGGTGGCTTGCCCCCCAAGCCAAGGGGGGCGCCCCCTCTAGGGTTCCCCCCTCAACCCTAGGCGCAAGGGCCCAAGGGAGGGGGTGCGCCCAGCCCACCAGGGGCGGGCTCCCTGCCCCACGCAGCCCATGTGGTCCCCTGGGAGGGGTGGCCCCTCCCGGTGGACCCCCGAAACCCTTCCGGTGGCCCCGGTACAATACCGGTATGACCCCGAAACTTCCCGGTGCCCGTTTGACAACTTCCCATATATAAATCTTTACCTCCGGACCCTTCCGGAGCTCCTCGTGACGTCCGGGATCCCATCCGGGACTCCGAACAACATTCGGTAGTCACATACTAGTCTTCCTAATAACCCTAGCGTCACCGAACCTTAAGTGTGTAGACCCTACGAGTTCGGGAGACATGCAGACATGACCGAGACGCTCTCAGGTCAATAACCAACAGCGGGATCTGGATACCCATGATGGCTCCCACATGCTCCTCGATGTTGTCATCGGATGAACCACGATGTCGAGGATTCGATCAAACCCTGTATACAATTCCCTTTGTCAATCGGTACGTTACTTGCCCGAGACTCGATCGTCGGTATCCCAATACCTTGTTCAGTCTCGTTACCGGCAAGTCACTTTACTCGTACCGTAATGCATGATCCCGTGTCCAACACCTTGGTCACATTGAACTCATTATGATGATGCATTACCGAGTGGGCCCAGAGATACCTCTCCGTCATACGGAGTGACAAATCCCAGTCTCGATCCGTGTCAACCCAACAGATACTTTCGGAGATACCTGTAATGCACCTTTATAGTCACCCAGTTACGTTGTGACGTTTGATACACCCAAGGCACTCTTACGGTATCCGGGAGTTACACGATCTCATGGTCGAAGGAAGAGATACTTGACATTGGCAAAGCTCTAGCAAAACGAACTACACGATCTTTTATGCTATGCTTAGGATTGGGTCTTGTCCATCACATCATTCTCCTAATGATGTGATCCCGTTATCAACGACATCCAATGTCCATAGTCAGGAAACCATGACTATCTGTTGATCACAACGAGCTAGTCAACTAGAGGCTCACCAGGGACATATTGTGGTCTAAGTATTCACACGTGTATTACGATTTCTGGATAATACAGTTATAGCATGAACAAAAGACAATTATCATGAACATTGAAATATAATAATACTTTTATTATTGCCTCTAGGGCATATTTCCAACACCGACGCAGCCAGCGGCGAAGACCACCACCCCGCGCCGCCCGACCGTGTCCAGCATCAGATCGAGATCCGATCTGAACCCGCCGGCACCCGCAACCTCCTGCCGTGTAGCCAACACCACACCGCGTGATGGGATCTCGCTGCCGCCGCCGCACCGCGCACAACGTCGACAAGGGTAGCCCAGCCGCCGCGCCTCCGGACCCCATGCAAACCCAACGGCTCCTCGCAATCCAGCCGTCCCGCGCCGGTGAAGATGCTTGAAGGGGAAGAAGTCCTGCTGCCGCCCTGCAGACCAGGCTTTGCCTGCTGGCACTGTGGACGGCGGCGAGAAGGGTGGGAGGCGGGAGGACTCGAGGGGGAGTGCGACTATGGTTTCCCCCCGGGTCGCCCACGGGGGCGGCGCGAGGGGGACAAGGGCGCGAGGGTGAGGGCGAGTCAGATCAAGCTCCAGGCTATAATGAAATAGAGTCTGGTTTAATGCTTAGTTATCCTAATGGCTCCCATTCGCTAGATTACAAAAAGAAAAAATCCATTATCCCGAGTTCCCGACCTTCCAGTGAGCATAATCATTTTTTCTCGGCCGCCAGCTATTCTCAGGATCCTAGTGATCCTGCTCCAATGCAACCGAAGGACGCCAGTGAAATCCTACCTTGGCTAGTACTCCCTCCGTTTCGAATTACTTGTCGTACCTATGGATGTATCTAGATGTATTTTAATTTTAAATATATCCATTTCAGCGACGAGTAATTTGGAACGGAGGGAGTACTTGCATCGTGATTGAACACTTTGCGTATGACCTTTTTATGCCCGGCTCGCATACAATTACCGATCCGACATTCCTTTTTCAAGTAGCAATTTCAAAAAACTTTGGTCTTGATTGAACACTTTAAAAATCATTGTCCTTCTCCGACATAGATTAGAAAAGTAGAATTGCAAAAGCAAAGGTGTTTGAAAAAAAATCAGTTATTGAGTCAATTTTTTAATAGTGGTCAATCACCTTTCGTTAATTTTAATCATTTATGTGAAACTCTGGTGGTAACATTATTGAAATTGCAATCACTTATCAAAGTTTCACTTCTCATTTGTGTTAATTATTAGTTTTGTGTTAGTTGTAATTGACCTTTTTGCACGATTGTGCTTTTATTTTGTACAATCGCAATTTTATTTTGCTCAATTGCCCAAAACAAAGCGCATACACTGCTAACCATAGAGTGAATGAAACTATTCGCAAAAAAAATTGAATGAAAACTTAAAATATTCAGGCGCCAGAGTTTTAGCAAATTTCGTACTTTGACAATACTTTGCCATAAATTTCGTAACAACAAATACTAATATGAATTTTTATTTTTTTTGCACCATAGGCAACACACACGTAACAGACAAATCATACAGTACATAATCTGAATATATTGCTGACGCTTGCTGTATTGATCGATGCCCCAAACTGACAACTACGCCCGCCCCACCATCGCGTTGACGGCGAGCTTGATTCGGTCCTTCTTCCCGGCGAAGTGTGCGGCGAGCTGCTCCCTCGGCGGTAGGCACGCGACGACGGTCGCGTCGGAGGTGTAGTCCTCCGCCCACCGGCGCAGCGCGGGGAACTCGCCGGCGCCCACAAGGCTCGCCCCGGCCACCTGCTCGATCACGCCCAGCAGGTGCGCCAGCCCGCAGGCCGCCAGGTCCAGGTACCCAACGGCGTCTCCGGCGAAGAACCGCTTCCCCTGCAGCCGCGCCTCCAGCAGCGCCAGATTCTCCTTGGTGTCCCTCACGAACCCCTCCCGCGCCTCCCCGTCGTCCAGCCACACCGCCATCCAGAACGGCCTGGAGCACTGCATGTACATACGCAAGGTCGATCCGCCATGAATGGCCGGCCATGTACACAGTGTCTAAAGAAAACGAGGGACTTGAACTTGAGAAGAACCAAACCTTTTGCTCGATGAATTGGGCCCAGAAGCGAGCCATGGCCCTCTCGTAGGGGTCGGCGGGGAGGAGCGGCGGGCCGTCGAAGGCCTCGTCCACATACTCGACGATGAGGAGGGACTCTAAGACGGCTGGCCGGTCACCATGGAGGAGCACCGGCACCGTCTTGTGGATGGGGTTGTGCTTCAGCAGCAGCTCGCTCTTGTTGTTGAGGTCTTCAAGGATGAGCTCGAATGGGACGCCCTTCAGGCGCAGGGCCACCTCGGCGCGGTGGACGAATGGGCTGCCGAAGGCGCCGATGAGCTTCACCGGTTCCGCCATTGCCGATAAGCTTGCTAGGGTGCTAGACAAGTTTGGATGTCGATATTTATAGGGGTAAATGGGAACTGATTGATCCAAATGGTAGTTTTGCTTAGTCAAGTGTCTTATATCAGTCAAAATGAGAAAGATTAAAAAGATTCGTGTCTCAATCGACTCATTGAAATCGGGGTGATCTTCACTGTTATTGATGCAGCTGCAGGTCAGACAACTGATTTGGTTTACCTAGACAATATATTAGAATGCAGTGGGCAGATCAAAGAGAGATAATATAATCTAGCAAAACGATGGTGACTTTGTTTGACATGCCTATCAATTAAAGTAGTAATACTATTGTGTACGTTTCCAAGCGAGCAATGGCATCCGAAGTCCGTCGTGATTTATTGGTCCTCTCATAGTTTGTGCCAAAACTTGACGATAGATTTAATTGATAAAATTTTAATGCAAGTTATAAAAATTTGTATCATTGGATTCATATTTAAATATAGTTTTCAATGATATTATTTTTTGTGACATGCATTAACATTTTGTTAATGAAATTCATAGTCAAAATTTGGCACAAAATACTAAGGGGGACAATAAACCAGGACGGAGGTAGTAGATCGTGGATATCTTTATTTCAATTTTCTTTTGTTAGCTATGGATTTTTTTTGTTTGCTGACATAGAAGTATGGATAGTTTGTGAGAGCGGCTATGATCATCAATCTACAAATGGTTATTTCTCGGTTAACCGCGCTGACAGCAGTCAGCTGGAAATGGTTATTTCTAGGTCATAATACTGATGTGATACAATACTCCCTCCATTTCTGTATACAAGACCACTTTGTTTTTCAAATCAAACTGGAACTTCTTATTTTTGTCAAAAAAATATGAGTTATATGACATCTAACATATATCATCGGAAAATTCTTTCAAATGTGCATCCAATGGCATACTTTTTGTGGCATATAACTCGCTTTTTGTTGGTAAAATTAATGGTCAAATTTAGACATATATAATAATGTGTAGTAGCCTTGTATATTGAGATGGAGAGAGTATTATTCTGAAGAAAGCTCTCACTTTATTAATCCCAGTTTAGCAGAAACCATAGAAGCGTGTTACAATGCAAGGAAAAAAAAGGATAAGATCGCGGGAAAGTGGTAAAAGAACACAAAAGACGAATTAAAGTGGACCACTTCACTACTGTGGCATCGCCATTGCCATTGATCGAAACATCTCCTTGCACCCAGAGAACATGGCAACGAGGTCACCCCTCTCCGGCAAGCATGTCTTCACATCCTCATCACCTACATACCGTCTAGACCAATGGCAAAGGGCCGGGAACTCCTCTTTGGTGACCACGGTCACTCCGGAGATCTTCTCCATGACTCCAAGCCAGTGTGCCAGTACACTAGCTGCTATGTCCACGAGCCCGATGGAGTCACCACCGAAGAAACTCCTCTCCCCGAGGTGCTCCTCTAGCAACGCGAGGCTCCCCTTTGCCTCTACCATGGACCGTCTCTGTGCCTCGCTAGGTTCCATCCAGAGCGCCGCCCACAACGACTTCATGCACTGCATATTTAATCAACATATATTTTCAGATCGCCCGTGGGTTGTGCAAAATTGCAAGCAACTATATACAGATTTTTTGAGCCACTATGCAGGTATGCCTTCTATCCGGGCCTTCTAAATTTGCATCAAGGTTCGTGGTCAACCACTGTAGAATTGATTTATTTTATTTCTTCCTAGCCAAACAATATTTGAACTTGAAACTTTCCAGGCAAAGAACACATGAATAATAGAGTGTGCAGAAATGGTTTCATGGTCTTTTTGCAACATAAATATCTAAAATACTAGGGTTCATTTAAGTTATTTCTGATGCTTCAAAGCAATAATAATAAAAAAAACAGTTCTGCATAGTGCAGTACACATGTGCTCTAGGCCTGCAAAGTTCAAATGTATTTCTTTTCTTGAGAAAAAAAGTTCTGCGCACGGATCTCAAGTTCTCAACACAACTATGGAGCTCGTTTACAGCTTTGCATATACCTTTTGATCGATGAAGTGAGCCCAGAACCGGGCGGTGGTGCGGGCGTGGGGGTCAGTGGGGAGGAGGGGCCGCCCGGCGAAGGCCTCATCCACGTACTCGATAATGACGAGCGACTCGCTGATCGCTGGTCTGTCGCCGTGGAGGAGCACGGGGACCTTCTTGTGGATGGGGTTGTGGGTGAGCAACAGTTGGCTCTTGTTGTGAAGGTCTTCGACGATGAGCTCGTACGGCACTCGCTTCAGCCTCAGGGCCACCTCCGTGCGGTGGCTGAACGTACTGCCGAATGAGCTGATGAGCTTCACCGGTGGCTCACCCATTCTTCTTACTTCAAAGCGAGCTATTCAATGGCGTGGTTCTGTGGTGTGTGTGCTTGTGTGTTGTCTAGAAATTTAAGTAGGATACTGATGCTTCTCCTGGAAGATTGAGCTCTGCACAAATCGACATTGTTTTTTACCTTCGATAGAGTCTGTTTTGTCTCTATGGGACAAAGAGTACTCAGCTATTACTTATTAGTGCTGCATCTTGATGTTTGAAGTACAAACAAACTTATCTTGCCCTCGGCCCCACATACTAGTTCTTTTGTACGTGGCTGAAAGAATCTCTAGATTGAAGTGAGCGTTCATCGACGAACCTTGGAAGCGGTGAAATCATTTTTGTTACATTAATCGGTCAAGATAGGAACCAAATGTTGGATCTCAAAATCTGGTTCAGACGAGGGTTATAGCTACAGCCTAACCACACCCCCACATGTTCAACAATTATATAGCTGCAAAACCATTTCGATATAGTTTGTATGAATGCAAAAAATAATTAATCAAATTGTAGCAAATTTGTATAGAACTTTGGGCGGTAATGAGTATCAGCGGTAACCGAAGCTACCTCTGCCCCACCAATACTTCCTCCAGTCGTAAGTAAAACCCTGTTTAAAACAAGGTCTGTGGTGATTAAATCCGGTCCTGTCTCTAATAAAATTTAAACCAGTTGAACATGCCACGTTGGAATTCACTCTCTGCAGCATATATATGTGGTACAGTGGTAGAGAACAACAAAGGACGATTAACGGAAATTCAGTTCACTTAAATTTAGTTTAAATAGATAAACTTAGTCTGGGATTAGCAGAATGTTGCCGGAAATTCCGGGATTGCAGAATTTCCAACTGGAATCTGAAATATTTCAAACTCAGGAAAGTATAGAATTTAACTTAAAAAACAGAAGTGAACATTTGGCTCATCCCATACATGGTTTAATTCGACGAAGACCTCTCAATCAAGAGTAAGATGCTCCTCCACCACATGTCCATTTGGTGCTGGCGCTCCTCCGCCGTGAGCATATGGCCGTTTGCAACTCGCTCATCCTCATCGTGTATGTTGATGAGGCCGTTGATGACCCACCACTCCTGCTGACTGAACCTGGCGAGAGGGCTGAGGTTCAAGTAAACCTGAGCATGGTAAAGGAAGACTAGGAATATTCAAAACACTGAAAAAAGATATTGTCATTTGTAGTGTGAATTTACAGGAGTTTATATGCAGGAAAGAAACCGTGAAATGATAAAGAAAACCTTAGCGTCACAGGGTTTACAGTACATCCTTCAGAAGAATCAGTCCAAGTGATTCTGCCAGACTTCAAAAATTAATTACTAAAGATGAACAACATTCCCATTCATCTTGTGTAGAGATGTGTCGGTCTAACTTTAGAAAGAAGCAAACACATGGATGCAGATGGAACATGGCTGTTGAAATCAGATGTACCGATATAGTTATCAGTAATATTGAACATATTTGCATTTAGGTGGATGCATGTGTGCTAATTCTTTCTATCCTGTAGCAAATCTAAGCACGGCCATGGGCTGTGTAGACAATGACAATTGGAAACAAACCCAGAGAATCTTGCCTGTCTATAACAACAGATTGTGTGCAGTGAGCATCCACTATTTCTGGGTAATGAAATTTTCAACTCAATAGTTTGAACTTCCAAACATAGATTGTAACATTTACAACTGGATTCTGAAAACTTTCAAACTCAGGGAAGTACCAAATTTAACTTGAAAAAAAATAAACAGAAGAGAACACTTGACTCATAATACATGGTTTAAGAAGAAAACTAAGTTGAAAAAAATAAACAGAAGAGAACATTTGGCTCATAATACATGGTTTAATAAGAAAAATAACTTGGCTACATCCAGAAAGCCACAGGAGTTAAGCAAGACTCATTAAATTCATGTCCTTCGGTCATCTGGTAGGAGCGCACAGTTTGCCGCGTCGTCCTGAGCTCTCCACTTTTATCATACTTGAGACCAAACTTGGTGACGCGCAGCACACGGCGGCGTGGCCCATCACAGGGTCCTAAAGGCTCCTGATCCTTGTGCAGGCGAGACTCTATGAGGCAGTAGTCGCTGATGCCGCCCAGGTAGAGAAGGGTGGCTCCCAGGTGCCTGTCGTCGTACGCGTCGAAGAGCTGGTCCTCGCCAAGCTTCCAAGCCGGCATGGTCGACAACGTTGTAGCGTAATCAGACAGGGGCGGGGCATCGCAGGAGCAGACGTGGCCGATGCCGCCTTTGTGGCGGCAGAGGCCTACCCAGGCATCGAGCTCGCCATCCTAGTAGGCCTGGCCTTTGAAGGGCAAGACCCACTTGCCTACGCCCATCCAGGAATAGCACTTGGTGTCCAGGAAGAAGGTTCTGGCTCCTTCCGAGACGAAAAGCAAATGGTCGTTTGGGTGCACTGCAAAGGACACAACACCAATGGAATTGAACGGAGCAAAGATCCTTGGGCTTTTGATCCAAGAGCACTGCTTGTCTTCGTCGTCGTATGGTCCGGGGAGTGGCAAGGAGTCGAGCACAAACGTGGAGTATCCCACCGTCAAGTAAAGCTCGCCAGCGACTGTTGCGAACAAGGGCTGGGCACTGTGGACGTCCGGATGGGGGCAGAGGGTGAGCCCCAGCGTTTTTGTGTCGAATACGGGGAAGGCCCCGGTGGCGGCATCGCTGTGGCCCAGCATGGCGAGTATGTTGGTGCCGTACGCGCCGAAATGCGACAGGCGGCAGTGGCGGCCGTAGAAGCGCACAACCGGAGGATCTGGGAGGGGCTCCGCCTCGTCGTCGTCCAGGTCGGCGCCGGCGTGAGGAGGGTCCATGTCGTCGACGTCTATCTTGCGGACGCTGTATCCAGTTTCCCAGTCGTCCACCACGAGATAGACATGCTGTCGCGGCTGCGGCTGCTGCTGCTGCTGCGGCGGCGGCCTACGCTTGGCCTTGTGGCAACATGGCTGAAGCCTCAACTGCCGCTTGGACATGTCGTCGAGTTTCTATCTACCTCCTCTCCGGCGGTGCCGTGTTGCAACTTGCAAGCGAGCGAGCAGATCGACTGCGTAGAGTAAGAAATCAAGACCGCCTGGACACATATAAATAGGCGAGGCGAGATGGCACCTCAATTCGAGTCAGATTGGCACCTAAATTCCCCCCGCGACCGCGAACGAATCCGCCATCGGATTGGACTCAGGGAAACGCCTCCCCGCCAATCCGACTCCCAGCTGGCTGACTGGCCATAGCTGAACTAGCCCAGGGCGTCCTCTCCAGCGGCAGTGGTGGATCTCTGCCACGGCGGCGGCGAGGGTTTCGTCTTTCGTGCGGCGGCGGGGAGAGGGAGGTTGGGCCATGTGGAAAATTTGCGTATTTTTCCCAATCTGCGTACTTTTTCCAAGTTCACATACTTTTTTCAAAACCGCGTACTTTTTAAAAGTTCATGTAGTTTTTCAAATCCATCCATTTTTAAAAAATTGACATACTTTTTCATATTTGCGTACATTTGTTTGGAAAGAGTTCATGAATTAGAAAATTTTATGTGAATTGAAAAAGTACGCGGATTTGGATTTCTTGCACGCAAATTAGAAAAAAATATGTGGACTTGAAAAATTATGTCAACTTGGAACAAGTACGTAAATTTTAAACAAAGTTCATGGATTGGAAAAGGAACATGAATTTGAAAAAATACACAAACTTTAAAAAGTATGCGGATTTGAAAAACACTTCATGGATATGATAAAATTAAACGAGCTTGGAGAAAATATGTTGATTTGAAAAAAGTCTGCAATTTTTTTTAAAAAAATTATGGATTTGTAAAAGGTACACAAATTTCATAATAGTTCAATGGTTTGAAAAAATTATGTTTATTTTTGAAAAAAAAATCACAACCTTGAAAATACTACGTGGATTTGAAAAAGTTCATGGATATACAAAAATTATGCGAATTTGAGTGAGCACGGTCAAAACTGGGGTCTAAACCAAAACCGGTCAAAATCGAGACCAGGGACGAACCTTGTCCGGTTTTGATAGTTGGGGATGCAAGTTGTCCGGTTTCGAAGTTGAGGTACCAAATCTAGACTTCACCAAGAGTTGAGGGACGAAAAGTATACTTCCTATAAACAGGGTTCACCATTTATATCCTACTTGTGGTCTGTCACACAGAAAATGTGTATGCTGTTGTTCAAACCAAAACTCGAATTGACCCAGACACTTATTTCATTCATCTATGTTAGTTTGCATGATTTTTACTAGCTAATATGTTAGTACTTCAGCACCTTTATTTTAAGTTCAAATTTTCCAAATTATATATGCCTTTCTCACACATATTAGAGCATCCCCAGCTGCG